TGGTCCGCAGGATTCCCACAAATGACAGTGCCGCTCCCGTGGGAGTCGTACACGCCGCGCGCTTTTTTGCAGGGGTCGAGCGGGACATTCCATGACTTCTTCTGGGACGTCGTCCACACGTACGTTGGACATTCGTGCGAGAGCCTGCGCTTGCTGCGAGAGGGCGGCATGGCGCTGAGCACTAGTCTTCGGACCGGGTCGTCGTGTACGCACGATTCCGTGCGGCCTGTTGTACCACCGCAGCTCTTGACAACGGGGGTGATTCCGCCTATGGTCCCTATGGAGGAGCTCCCTGCGGTTGACTGCTGCGAGAAAGACACGGCCATTGCGAAACTGAGAGAGCGCTGCTTCCGTTACGGCGAGAGCGTTTTGCGGCTGCTGAAAATTGCTGAGGATTATTCTGCTGGTTGGGGTCGCTTGAAGGATTATGAGCAAAAGCAGCTGGATATCGCACTCTCGAATGAGCGGGCTTCAAGAATTAGGAAGGATGAAATTTACGCGTACTTTACGGATCTGATTTTTTCGGGTAAGGGACTGCGCCAGGTGACCGAAGACATCACCCTTTTTTCGAACCTCACGACTTTGGTGCTGAGCAACAATCCACAGCTTACGTCTATCCCATATTTGCCGCCTGCTTGCTTGGTGCTTGTGGCGTGTGATTGCTCCATTCGGGAGGTGTGCGCCTCGACTACCCTGACCTTTCTGGGGTTGTCGTACAATGCGATGGAGCAGATGGAATTCCTGGGCGGTCTACCAAATTTACGTGTGCTGGACCTCACCCGCAACGCCGTCTTCTCCATTGAGGCAACTGTGGAGGCTCTGCGGGCGCACCCGCTGCTGGAGGACGTGACTTTTACTGGTTGTCCCATCGCATTGTTGGACGACTACATTGAACGAATTGCTGCTGCATGTCCAAGATTGCGTCTTTTGGATCACGTCTCGACTGGTGGACTCCCAAAGAGTCCGTCCGAGGCGATGAAGCATACACCCGCGGTGGTGTTAAGTGTTGAGTTGACGAGGCTGGAGGGGCTCAGTGCACTGGCGCATATTCCGGTTCTAAGGGAGGAGACTCCGTTAGCAGCTTTTTCGGAGGCAAAGGCTACAAAAGTAAGGAAAAAGGCCAGAACCGCTTTGCAGGGACCGTTGTACGAGTGTAGCACAAGCATAACTCTGCAAGGTTCGTGGGGTGGTAATGGTGACGGTGATAATGATGGGGGTGCTGTTCTTGTAAAATGTGAGAAACTTCGTTTGGGACCGGAAGTGCCAGCAGCGACTCAACAGAGACTCAGCAAAAGGAAGTTGCGGGTCTCGGCAACGCAGATGGAGAATGTGCGTGTTATAGATCATTTGGTAACGGCAAATGTGATGCCTACAGCTGGGCTTTCCCAGTCTCTTGCGAGGCCGTTTGTTCTCACAGTAAAGATCCATGACGACATTCGCTTCCCTAGTGGCAACTGCGTCGCGTTGACGTGTGACATTGGATCGTTCTATGCCGATGCTTCTAGTCTCTTGCTGAGCACCGCGCCCATGCCTCGTTGCATCACTATGCAGGAGCCCCTTGTTGTTAGTAAGATGGCATTGGAGGAAAAGCGCTTTCAGGCTAAAGAATTCCGTGAGTCTGCAGCCGCTGCGATGGAGAGTCTAAAGCTGTTTACTCAATCCTCGGAGGCCTTTTCTGGTGTCTTAAATTTGAGCGGAACCTTGCCACGGAGGCGAAACAAGTCCCTCATGGTGACTGCTCAGGGTGCTGCGGCGGAACGGTTTTTGGCTGAGACGAAGAGGCGGGAGGCGGAAATGGGGGAATTAACGCTTCTTGCATTCATCGTGGAGAGGCGCATCAGGGAACTGCAGCAGTTGGAGCTGACGGCGACGATGGGGTTTTCGCTGGGTTCTGCACCGAAGGTAGTGGAGGCGGATTCCCCGACGACGGGGCGCGCAAAAGCCACTCTTCGTGGAAAGGGCGAGAGGGTGAGGCGGTGATTTCCACAAGAATGGATGTAATTTATTGCATTGGTGAATATTTCTATACGTCTGTTTTTTTTTTTTTTTTTTTTTTTCGGCATGATCCTTCCGTTTGTTTCTTTTTTGTTTGGACGTTTGCCCTTTTTCCCTCCCGCTCCCGCACAGAGAAAGGGTGGGCGAGGGAAGAGCAAAGAAAGAAGGAAAGGAAGAAAAATAAATAGTCGTGCTTTTCTCTCTTTGTACGTGTTTCGTGCTGTCGCATCTTTTCTTTAATATACACTGTGCATGTATGTATGTATATATATGTGTGTGCGTTATCCTTTGGACGGTGAATGGTTGGGTGAGGGGGCTTTACTGTTGGTTGTTGTTTGCTTTATTTATGTTTTATATATTTTTATATTTTTTTTTTGCCTTTTGCTGCCGCTGATATGGAGCAAAGATGTAACATGCACCTGTTTTGAACTTCCGTCTTCCTTTGAGCAAAGTTTTCCTTGGTGGGAATAGGCATCGACTGGCATCCGCGCGGGTGGGAGTGGGGGCAAGAAGGCGTGCGATCAGGCAATCATGGGCCGAGGTGGGCTGACGTTGTTGCTGCTTGCGGTATCTCTGTGTGCTGTTCTATGTGAATCGAGCCCACAGGATAAGAACACGCAGGTGGAGCCAATCACAATCAGCCCGTCTCCGATAGCGAATAAACCCGTCCAGGAGTGGTCGGTACCAGACGTCGAGTACTGGATGAACCACACGGTGGGCTACGCGGAGTTCGGCAAGTATGTGCGCAAATATCTGGTTGACGGCCCCACGCTGCTGGAGATGGAGCCGGCTGACTTTGAGGAGCATTTTCCCGTCGACAATGCGATTCAGGTGGTGAAGTTGACAGCACACATGAAGCTTCTAAAGGGGTTTTGTCTTTGCGGGGCGGCCGAGAGGGCCATTATGGATTTCTGGTCCTACTTCGCGAAGGAGAATTTTCGTGTCTGGGTCGTGGGGGGGACCGCCGTTTTCTTTCCGCGTCTGGCGATGCTGTACACATTTTTCTTTGACGACGAGCTGTACAAGCTGCTCGTCGGTGTGCCGGTGCCGCAGGCGAGCGCACTGAGCACCGCCGCGCTGGATGTGGTGCTTGCAACGACGCGAACGGTTCCTGTTTCGCATACCCTGCTGTATCTTTTCTGCCTCGCCGCCGCACCGGACCTCTTCATGGCGTATGAGGTGGCCTGCCTGGCCTTCACGAATTATTTCATCATGCCGTTTTTTTTTGTGCACTATATCCTCCAGGCATTTAACAGCTACTTTTTTTTGTTTCTGCTGTGGAAAGGAAACGCCTTCCCGCCGAATACGTCAGTTCTTGAGGCGATCTGGATGATGCACTCCTACACACTTTTTGTTCCTCCCGCCGCTCTTCTGCTTTACCCCATCATACCGTACTTTCTCCAGTCGCTTCTTGTCTACGTGCTTATGGGTCACACCGTGGTGGTTGTTGTCGCCTACACCTCGCTCTTCTTTGAGAGCCCAAAGACACCGGGGGAAACGGCATGAGGCACCGTCGCCGGGGGCCCAGGGGCAGCGACGTGCGTGCGGGTGTGAAGCGCTGGAGCGAATCGGGTGGAAGAAGAAGAAGAAGGAGTCGTGAAAAACGAAAAAGACAACCGGGCACAGAAGGGATTCGAGTGAGCTAAATAGGAAGAGAGTGTAAAAATGAGGTTGGGTGGAAGGGGGGAGGGAAAAGAAAAAACAACAACAACAACAACAAAAAAGAGCGAAGGATGGCGATGAAGTAATTCGGGGCTGTTGCTGACGAATTCTGCTTGGGGTATATACATTCCGTTCTTTCTCTCCGCGGACGGTGTGCGTGTGTATGTGTGCGTGACGGTTCTCTCGGAGGCATCTTTTTCTTTTCATTCTCCCTCTCTTTTTTTCTTTCTCTCCCCATTTCTGTATCTCCCACTGTGTGAGGAATTGTCAATTCCTTCTTGTTCTTTATGCACTTTCCCCTCTTTGCATCTGTTTTCCCATTTTATTTTCTCGTCTCCGCTTGGGGACGCCGCAGCTGCAGTACTTTATGCCCTACAAAAGTTCCACTGAATCCAGCCGACGGCGTGCGCGCACTCCTGTTGCTGCGCTCGCAGCGGCGGATCACCCTTGTGGCTCACAAACACCGGCCGATGCCGAAACGACGCGGCGGGCAAAGTCGGATGTTCCATCGCGCTTGCGGATTCGCAGCCGTGTGGAAAGAGGTCTCCACCAAGAGGCGAAGAAGGCCCGAATGGAGCCACGAACCGTTCAGTCTCAACACGAGGAGGAGTTGAGGTTGTCACGGGAACTCACTTTACATTGCGACGCCGTCGTGCAAAGAGTGCATGCCCTGGCAGACAAGACACAGATTCAGGAGGAACGCCTAAGTCAAACGCTGAAGGAGAGTATTGAACGTTCCCCGATTCGACAGTCGAGCGTGTCGCCGAAGA